AGCTATGACTGATATAGGCTTTTCATTTTTGTCTGTCAGTGAAGAAAGTAAACATGGGGTCAACTGATAGGTGGATTTTCCCTATGAATAATTTTTCTCGGACACGTTTATTTACTGAAAGCTACTAAAGCTACGTAATTAGTTTATTAAATACATTCAAAACATATACACATTCATTATTGATCTTATGACTAATACAGGGCCGTAGACAGGGCTTTATAATCACAGGTGTCCTAAATTTGAGGTTGGTGCTTCAATTTTTTTGATTTCTCTGATGTGCATTTCAAGACGTTTTAAGACCAAAAAAAGAATAAGAAATAGCTTTAAAACCATGTCAGTGGGCAGTAAATTCTCTCCCCCTTCGAAGGCTGAGCTTTTTTAATGTAATAGCCTAAAGGCTACAATTTTTATTATATTCTCAATATGTACACATTCGTTACTTGTGGCTAAAATGATGAAAAGGTCTTTGTTAATGTTTCTTGTCCCCTCGCAATGACAGTAAACTATTAAATTGCATCAGTCACGTTACAGGCCTATTTATTTCACTTCAAAATGGCGAAATTAGACAAAACTATAGCCTATTAGTTTGCCTGATTATTTTTTGTCATTCGTTTAACATTTATGACCTAAAAAATGTAAATATGAAATGTTAAGTTTAGCCACTTACATCTTTTCTCGCACTTGCCCGTAAACTGAAGCGTCGAGTCGCTCTGCTGAAATTCGCGCTCAGCAGCGTCTTTGAAATAAAGCCCGCCTACTTTGATTTGATTTGTCATCTCAAATATTCTGACATTGACGAGCAGTGACAGACCAATGAGCTCAGATGAACACGAACACACACACACTACACACACCCTGTCCTCTGTTTTTGACGTGCTCTCTGCTCGCGCGCTGAATCTGATTATAACAGAACTTAAGGGAACACGAAATTCTGCCGCCTTAAGGCCCGTACACACCGGGACGAATATCAGCGCGCGTTATTCGTCAGCGTTTTTCAACGCGTTTTTTGTGTTCACACCCAAGCGTTTTTCGCTGACGATGAGCCGAGTGAACATGCAAATTCATTCCCTGACATTAGATGGCGCTTAATGTAAAACAGAAATAATAATAGAATATACTATAGGGTGATCATATTCATGTCTCAATGTTTTATTATGACAGATTAAAAAAAACGAATGAAATAATGATAGAAATAATGTCTTCTGTATTAGAAAAATAAATATATAAATAATAAATAACTAAAAAATGCCTCCAAATGTAACAAAAAATAGCTCTCACAAACTTACAAAAACGAACTAACAAAATCTATTTATGTCTTTAGTTTTCATTCTCTTTATCTTGTTTTTCTTCCTCGTCCACCTTGTTTGCCCATCTATATTTTTAAACCAGGACATTTTCATCACTTAAAAACAGTCAGGACAGGACGTGGAAACAGGACATATATAACGCAAAGTTGAGATGTTGCCCAGAGATGAACAGATGCACAAGAGACGAGAGTTGTCGTATTTCCCCGCGTTTAATAAAACCATTCAAACGTTACACTCGTCCTCATACATGGGGATCGAGCGAGAGAAAAAAAAACACAAACAAACATCTGGTCACAATAGAAAAATAAAAGAAAGAATACAAAGAGTCGGCAGAGCGGTTCTCCTCTCCTCACTTGTCAAAATCTAACTGACACTATACGCACACTATGCGCAGTTCTCATCTCAACTCAGATTTCTATAAAGCACAAAGTGACCATTTTACATATGTCCCGGGAAAACAGGACTGTTGGTCACCCTATACTATACTAATATTACAGAAATACTAATATAAATATTATCATATAGCTCATTATGCTCCGAGACCAGCAGCTCAACATTCATCTTGCACGTAGGTATCTTATCTCTTCTTCGCCGTGTGCTCGGCAAGACCGTTTTGTGTTTGAGCGCCCCCAAGTTGTGTTTTACTGTAACTTCAGAAGTACCTGACACGTGAGCAAACCGGCCAATCTCGTTGGTCGGATAGGTTTTGACGCGGCGCGTCAAACCAAAAAAACGAACCCGAGGCGTTTTTTAAAAAATGACGCTTTTACGCGTGGCGTTTTTCGCGTCGGTGTGAACACTCACATTGGCGCCCATTGTTTAGTCACGAGGCGTTAAACGTCGACGAATAACGCGCGCGAAATTCGTCCCGGTGTGAACAGGCCTTTACGTTTAGGGGGGCTGATGTCGTAGGAAATTTATTTCACAAAACGATGTTGTTACGAATCCTCACGCTTTTTAAAGTGGGCATACAGAGATCTTTGACATTTCCTAGTGGGTATACGCAAATCCTTGACATTTTCTAGTGGGTATACGGCGTATACCTGCGTATCACGTAGACTACACTACTGGGAGACACACATAACCTGATTTGTTGAACTGGCCGTGTGACAAAGCGGGCATAAGATAGACACGAGCGCGAGTTCGCGGACGAATTTAATAACGCGGATCGTTGTTAATAATTGATCCATATAGGCTAAGGCGCTCTGGATTATAAGGTGCACTGTCGTTTTTGAGAAAATTAAAGGCTTTTAAATGCGCCTTATAGTGCGGAAAATACGGGTATCAGTCTCAAGCAATGCCCCTCTTCGCATTCGACACGGTGCCACGCGAAAGGCGAAGCTTGAATTAACGGGTATGTTCCTCTTTGGCTAATGTACTTTCAAGATGGAGGGGCAACATGGCGACCGACATTAGAACCCCTTACCCGTATGTATTTTCAATGGTATATTATACACTCACGAGAATACTTTATTACTTGAACGAAGTAAATAGGCCGATACATTAATGAACACATATATTTTTAAAAGAACTAAGTGTTTTTAGCTAAGAATAAACTAAAAAAGTTACACAGAGTAGCTTTAAGTCTCAACATTAGAAAAAACTTATGAAAGTCTGCAATTGTATCAAAATCTCGGCAATGTGGGAACAAAAGAGAGCCCTTCACTTAAAGCAGTCAAGCAAGATAGTGATTTACTCGATAAATTAATCACATTTTGTACCCGTTCCGTTTCTGTGTCTGGCGAGTCCGAAATGGCTCTCTGACTCCTTTCTTCTGCCCCAATCCTGGTACATCCAGACTCTGAACTGCCATTGGATGCCTCAGAAGAGGGAGTTGGGGCAGTGCTCTCCCAAAGTCCTATCACAGATAACAGAGTCCATCTGTGTTCGTTCTTTTCAGAACAATGATCTATCGAGGACACAGTGCATGTGGCTCTACGGGGTGTAAAAATTCCTGATGAAGTCCCTGAAGGATGCTTGTTTGTGCCCAAGGATGTATGGTCTGATGTCCTCCAGTGGGGTCATGCTTCTGCCCTGGCTGGATATTGAGGAACTGAGAGGACATTGGATTTTATTCAGAGATGCTTCTGGTGGCCAGAGATGACAAGAGTGGTCCGATCTTTTGTACAAGCCTGCCCAATCTGTGCTCAAAAGAAATCCTCTAATTAGCACCCTGCTGGCCTTCATCCCTTGCCACAACAACATCCCTAGTCTCACAACTCCATGGATTTTATCACTGGTTTACCAGCATCTGAATGTAACACTAGTGTACTGGTGGTCCGCACACTTAATTCCCTTACCAAAACTCCCTTATGCCAAAGAGACTGCTGACCTTATTTTTAAGAATGTGGTAAGAATCCATGGAATTCCAGTGGACATTGTTTCTGATCGAGGTCCCCAGTTTATGTCTCGTTACTGGAAAGCATTCTGGTCTCTGTTTGGCTCTTCTGTCAGTCTCTCCTCAGGTTTCCACCCTCAAAAGGTCAAACCCGAATAAATCAGGAGTTGGAGAAATATCTCCATGTTAGGGTTAGGGTCTGTCCAGCAGAGGGAGACTGAGAGCACAAGACCTTCCACATCTTTCTCCTAATCCACTGCTCATGATTGGTTCAATGAAATTACTTGTGCCTTGCTAGTTCGTGTGTTAACAGGTGTATATTTAAAGGCTTGCATTTGATTGTATTTGCTCTGTCTTGAAGTTTTCTAGCCTAGCCTATGCTTTTGTGTTTTCTCATTTTGCCTAATGGAAGACTTTTGTTCAGACCTTTTTACCAGCTTCACTGGTCATCTTTGTTTAATATTATTGGACTCTTTTGCCTGCATCATCCAGTTTGGATTTGTATCTTGCCAAACCCTGCACTTATGCTGGATCCTTTGTTTGTGCTCAGGAAAGAAAACTAAGTAAAGACTACCTGTTTTTCCTTCTAAACCTCTCACCTGATTATCTGCCAGTTGGGGGTCCACACTTTTCGATTCTTAGACCTGACAGTTTTTGCAGTACCCAATCTAAACGTTTTTTTATTACTTCAACACTTAGTATATCCTTAAACCAAATGTTTCTTGACAGGAGAAAACTAATTTTAGAAAACTAAAACTAAATTTGAAGAAATGGCTGCTGAAAACTCTATATAAATAATAGAATAAAATAATAAAATGGAAAAGAAAAATAGAAAAGTGTGTTTAAAAATATTACACAATATTATTGTTTTTGTATGCTATTTTAATCAAATAAATGCAATGGTGAGCATTAGACACTTCTTAAAAATTTCAAACTCGAGCGATGATATGGCCCCTTTTTTACCTCACAACAAACAAAAATGGATATAATTGACTAACACTGTTTAATCACATTGTTTACATTCAGTCAAATGCTCAGCTATGCCATCTGAAGTCAGGTGTATCATTTAGTGTTTATAGTCCTGTCCTTTGCCACTAGCCTGTAGATATTGTAAATAAGTCGCTCGGTCATTCATTTTATTAGGCTATAATTTTACTGTTTATAAAAAGATAGATAGCTGCAACACCTATACACTTTTTAATAAGTAGCCTAGCTATAAAGACTAAAAAATGACAACGAACAACGATTGCGAGTTTAAAGACCTTTACAGTCACGGGGAATAAGTTCTCTATCAGATTGTGTGGAGCTCTTTAAATTGTCCATTGGTGCGCGCGCGTACGTCAGTACCGAGACGAGCGAGCGAGCGCTAGCGGAGGCAGCAGTGGCGCATCTCACATATATCTGCCGCTGGAATATATCGGCTGCTTTAGGATGTGAACGGGGTTCGGCCTCGGCACCGACCAAAGCTTCTGTTTTCCCATGACAAACAGATGCGACAAGAGAACAAGCGAGCGCGAGAGTGAACGGTACAGGGGAGCGGAGAGATCATCGGTATTATTATGAGAAAAGAGGACGGGGTTGTCGGAGCCGTATTTGTTTTGCTCGCGGAGATGAGGCGGGGGGTAGCGAGTCGCTACAAAATCGTTGGGCTCCGGCCAAGCATTACTCTGTTTTAGCATATACCGCCCCGCTTGCGTTTACTTCGTCAACAGACGCGTTTGATCGCTACGGTTTGCATCGCAGAAAAATAATGCAGCTGTCTCGAGGACATCTGTGAGATTTGCGGACTGCTGTTGCCGCTGCCATGACAGACGCAGGCTTTACCGAGCAGGCGGTGTGAGACGAGCACGGCCCCCAGCTGCAGCAGCACGGCCGATGTGGGCTGCGTTTACCGGGGGAGATTAAATCTGTATACTGTTCGCGCTATTCCTCTTTAACCGTTTGCAATCTCAGGGAAAAATGTCATCTCGGTCTGCTTTACCGTCTGCGAACGACCGGAGCACAGATCATGTAAGTATCATCATTTCAAATAAATTATTATTGTTGTATCATCTAGGCGCTCCGTTTCCACACTTATCCTACAACGCCCAGAATAACGTCAGATCCACGGTCATTTTTGCTATCGGGAATGCATTGCCTGGTATCGTTCATTCATGGGAGGATGGAGAGGCAGGATAAATACAGTGGCCCATGTACGCGTAGCAGGTTCTTTGGCAAAATGGGCCGCATCCTTGCATGTGCAAAGCAGCAAAAGACGCTGCGAAACGCGCAGGCCATCCGCATAGTGTACACATCAGCGCATCATCTGCGCACGAGCGCGCGCTCCTCTCACAGAGAGCGGTTTTGCTTCATTGGCAGAATTTGCGGGAGAATGGCAAGAAGCTCTGAGCACTCTGTCTCTGCAGATTAGAAAATGAATATAACTTTTTGGGGCACCAGAGTCATACAGGGAGGGTGAGGTTTTAGCATTAGCTGTGATATGCCGTCTCCGTTCGTCTACAGTTTCGTGCTCCATGCTCAGACGCACTGGCTGGTGTCGTGGCCTACCAGTTCTGCGCCAGAACATTACAGTGTTTTTTATTATCTGACCTAGACTTGTGTTGGTTAATGTATTTAGTGTTGCTTCAATATCTTATTAAACAATATAAAACAACTATGTTTTTTTTCATAGCCTAATTCATTTATTTAATTAAAAGAGAGTGCTTGTTGATGTAACATCTATAGGGATTCAATTTATCTGACATTTGACAGCTTGATCAAAACTGTCTGGAACCTTATAAAAAAGTATAATAAAGCAAAACATCTCAGCTCATCATGATAACGCTTAATGAATATAATTTTACTTGCTGTATATTTTAAAGCAAGCACCAAGGTAAGCGTTAAGTAGGCCTAATTCATTAAAGTGTGCACAACAAACTACATTTTATGTGAAGGATTATCAGGTCATTGATGTCTTAACAGTTTTGCATTTGGACTGACTGGCTCACAATTATACATTAATTCATTCCCTTCTCATTTTATGTACACTACAATTCAAAAGTTTGGGATTTGTCAGCTATTATATATATATATATAGACTAAGTCTCTGATGCTCACCAAGCCTGCATTCATTTGATCAGAAATACAGTAAAACAGTAATTTTGTTACAATTAAAAATAACTTTTTTCTATTTGAATATATTTGTAAAGGTAATTTATTCCTGTGATGTCAAAACTTTAGAATTATTACTTCAGTCTTCAGTGTCACATGATCCTTCAGAAATCATTTGAATATGCTGATTTGCTGCGCAAAAACATTTCTTATTATTATCAATGCAGAAAACAGTTGTTCTGCTTAATATTTTTCAGTTTTTTAATGAAAGTTCTAAAGAGCAACATTTATTTGAATGGAAATCAAACATTATACATGTCTTAAAGGTCACTGTTTGATCATTCCCTTTTGCTAAATGTTTTCTTACTGACCCCAAATGTTTTGAACGGTAGTGAACGGTAAAAAATACTTCTTTCTTTAAAATTCAGCATTGTTATTCTTTAGACCAAGTGCCGAAACATGCACAGGATTCTGAGATGTCATAGACAGCAAATGATAAATCTGATAAATCAAAAAATCAACCAGATGAAGACATCCTAGTACACAAAAGTTGGATATGGATGTTGACTTCTTATCTTTGTGTATAAACTGCAAAGGCAGCCTTTTTTTTTTTTAGCTTTCAGACAGTCTTAGAGAACACTAATATTGTGGTTATTAAATGTAACTCTGTAGCACATTATGTTTGTTTACATGGGACAGAGACATACAGGATTTTATGATACAGAGCCTAGATAATGTGCATGGTAGATTTTATTGAGCAAACATGTTTTGACCATAATATACCATTATAGAAAGTTGGGGCATTTAAAGGTCTATGCACAAAACAACCAGATCATAAATATAATGAAAATGTGAGCCAGATATGGTTTATTAGTTAAGCTTACTTTACACCCACACATGTTCTCTCACATTTGGGATTCTCCCAACAAACCCTTTTCAAATAAGAGCAGTCTATGCTATATTCTTTATTTATTTGGTTATATCTTTTCAAAAATAATAGTGAGACACAGTGTGTGCAGTTTGGCATATTGTGTAAATAGCGTAGGGTGCTGTGTGTGAGGTAGAGTCCAGTAAGAGTAGCGCATCGTGTAGTAATTTATTCAATCCCTGAGCTTTAATCCCGTGGTCAGCGGTGCAGACACGGACCTGCATGGGCATGTTTTCTGTGTGAGCTCCTTCCTCTCACCTCTTAAGGGGGACAGTTGGAGACATTCAGTAAACTTCACCAGATGTTAGTTTGAGTGTTCAGGGTTCAGGTTTAAATGTGCTAATGTTTCAGCAGCGACAGACTAAAACCTCCATGGCAAACTAAATTAATCCCGTATTATAGGGCAGAATTACTCACACACCAATGCTTATGCTCTCCTATACCATCATCACATCAGCCATCTAAATGATAATTCATATGATTGCAGTCACCATTTATTAAGGTTGTGCATGTGTTTGTGTTTCGCTGTGAATTTTTAAAATTAGATTTCATGTTTATGACAAGAAAGCTGAATTACAGCAACAAACTTCCCCTCAGATTCCCCTCTGCTTATTTCTAAATAATTTTAGACCGTCTTTTACCGTGTGTAAAACAAAAGCTGTGAGGACTTCTTTAAATGCGTGAACTAGTGATGCACTGGATTTTTTTTTTTACCAAAACACTGAAACCAAAATTAAAGTTTTATTTAGCTTAAAAACTAAACATGAAAATTAAGCTTTAGTAATTAAATTGAGCAAATTAAGCACAGGAATTTTTGCAGTTGTTTGCACGAAACAGACCCTGACATGGTTGAAACACATAAATGGAGAAACTCTAATTAAATGCCACTGTTTTAGTCAATGGTATCGGCCCACCAAAACTACTTCGGCTGAATATTTTAGGTTGCTGAAATTCCGGTACATCATTGCCTAATCCAAATATAGCAAAACATTGGTATAAATAAATAAAACAATAATTACTAGCTACTACAACAGTTGTCTACAACAGCCCATCTGCATTAGTGTAGACTGATTTTTGTGTGTGAAGTAAGAGGCTTAATCAGTAAATAAGGATTTAATTTAGAAATCTGGTGCAGTCGGTCAGCGCTTTCAATAAAGATTCCTTTTTTAAAACTTTCCTATTCCTCAATTAAATTCTGCTTTAATTAATTCAAGTAATACATCTACATGCATTTTCTGCTGTCTGAGCTAACTCGGCTACTTATCTTTTTTACTGGCTAGACACACAGGCAGGTTAAATTTCTTTTTTTGAGGCTATTTTCTTTTTCTGTTTGTTTCAGCAACAGCAAATGTTCCCCAGTTTAATACAGTCTATTTGTTAAAACTTTAATTTGAATAATCTTAATACATTTTCTATTTGTCTGTCTCTTTGTCCAGCATGCGTCTCTGGGGGCGAGTCGTTCAGAGAAGGGGACGAATGTGTCGAGTCGTTCACTGGGTGCCAGATGTCGTAACTCCATGGCTTCTAGCTCAGACGAGTTGCCCCACATCGGAAACTACCGGCTCCTTAAAACCATCGGCAAGGGCAACTTTGCTAAAGTCAAGCTAGCCCGCCACATCCTCACAGGCAAAGAGGTGAGAGAGAAAGAGGGAGTTTAAATAGGTAAAGCCAGAAGGGTGTGATAAGATGTAGGTACAGGATCTGCTATATTAGTTCTCATTCTCATTAGAATACTTGTGAGCATTAATTCTTTGGGTGGTATATATTTTTAAAGTGGTCCAACTTAAGTGTGAAAATTTCCACGCCCACGTTTACTTTTTATAAACCAAAGCTGATATAGTGTGATTTTAGATGGACTTCTTAGTGGGCACCAGAGAGCTTTAATAATCTTGGACAATAATAGAATGTGCTGTTTAAAGAGTAGTTCATGCACATAGTATTATATTATATATTATATACATAGTGAACTCATGTGTGGTAGTCTGAAGCCACGTATACACTTTGGGGAGTGACATCCTCATTTAAATGCAGATGAGAATACCCTAAATCATGGTTGTGTATGGAATAAAATCGTCACACCCAGACTTAAAATTGTTGATATAACCATAACACAATTGTGACTATAAATTAGGTAGCATGGATGCTAAAAGTTTTGTGCTCTTTTTGATTGAAGTAATGTTAGTGATCAGAAACAATTTTTAATAAAACCCATCAATGTGCTTTGTTTATACGCCTTAAGTTGTTACTAACAGCATGTGCTCTGTCTGAAGTGTACAGTATGAGTTACTTCTAGACCACATGGCTGGTGGGAGCAGCTACAGAAGAGACTGACAGACTGATATGAGAATTTGCGTATGAGTCAAGACACATGGCTCTGTCTCTGACTTGCGCCACGCGAGACGAAAAGAGACATAGACTCACATCTAATTACATCACTGCATTAACAACTAGATCTCTTACGAGACGAGAGGTTCTCTCGTATTGCTCGCCGCTGCGACACACAATTATCTCTTAAAGAGAGCGATTATTTTTTTTAGAATGCCTCGCAATTCCTGTGGCTTGTGCTGAGCCCCACTCAGCGCCTGAGACCGCCATGTGATCTGCGCTCTCTGCCTGGGCTCAGACCATGCAGCCCTCGCACGGGAGGCTGCGTCCACTGTGAGGAGCTGTCTATGTCGACTCTGCGGGCTCGTCTAGACCTCTTTGGTGCCGAAGCTGTCACACCGCCATCTGCTGGACCGCGCAAGAAGAAGTGCCGTGCTCAGAGACCGCTGGAGCCCGACGCGGAAACCAAGCACTTGCCGGATCAACACCCTCGAGTGCCTCTTTCGCCTTCTGGTTATCCTGCTCATGCCGTTGGTGTTTTAAGTGTAGAGAAAGTGTCCACACCCCAGTGTTCACGCCCTAACACACAAGCACTATAACTCAAGTGTCTCTCACGCCCACAGAGCCCATTCTCATAAAGCTGGCAAATGCCGCTCGAGTGTTAGATGTAGAAATCGAGAATCCGTGCTCGCGTCCATCTCTCAGAGCGGAAGTTGACCCAGCCGCCCACTGTACGCTTTCCCTCTGATCTCTATGCTACCACAGGTAATCAATAGAATCAGGGAATCGCGCCGCCCGGTGCTCCTTAAAGCCCCGCAATGGGAGAAACAAACATGTTTCCTGGACCTAACGCGGCTGTCTCGCACAGCCCCTTAGCTGATCCCGGTGAGGAGAGACCCGATCCCGGTGAGCGGAGATCCGATCTGAGCAGTCCCGTCTGCTGGTCCCGTCCAGAACATAACCTTCACTGCTGGTCCCGTCCAGCACAGAGCCTTCACCACTGATACCATCCAGCCCAGAGTCTTCATCGCTGGTCCCGTCCAGCACAGAGCATTCACCGCTGGTCAGCCCACGCTCCAAGTCAGCCCTGCCGAGCCTATGCTCCACGTGGTGCTCGTCAATCCAGCGCTTGTTCACGCCGCGTCTACCCAGCCAGAGACTGTTCACATCACGTCTGCCCAGCCAGAGACTTTTCACGTCATGTCCGCCCAGTCAGAGACTGTTCACGTCCCGTCTGCCCATCCTGTCCCTGGGCCTGTCTCAATCCTTGTCCCAGAGCCCGTCCCCGAGCCTGTTCCAAAGCCTGTCCCAGAGGCTTTTTCTGACTCTGTCATACCCCCCAAGTGTTTTTTGGGGGTGTATGACCGGGTCCTCTCCACCATTGCCACCCAAAGGGTCTTCACCGAAGGGGCATCTCTGCCATGGCCGCCTGCTCATCCTGCTTTGCCCTGGAGGTTTCCTGCGCAGGGCGCCCAACCCCCTACCCCTGTTGTTGTTGTTCTACTCCTTTTTTGAAAACGTTATCTTAAATTGTAATAATTCTCAGAATATTACTGTTTTTACTGTTTTTGATTAAATAAATAAAGCCTCTCTGAGCATAAGAGACTTATTTTAAGTATTACAAATTCCTACCAACCCCAAAATTTTGAACGGGAGTGTACTTTTTGTCGTATTGTCTTATTGGATGTTGTAATTTTTCATAATCAAGAATCTAGAAAGTTGCTTTAGATAAAAGTATCTACTAAACAAATGACTCTATAACAGGTTTGATTAGGTTTTTCTGGTCTAACTGTCTTAAAGAAAAATAAATGTGTTGGAGCTCAAATCACTAATTGTGAATTGTACATTTAGGTTGCAATAAAGATTATCGACAAGACTCAGTTGAACCCAACCAGCCTACAAAAGGTAAGACCATTATGTATATATTTAGTATTTATGTTTTCAAGACATTTTCTTGACAAAGGCCACACAATAATGTAATTTTAACACATTTAGTACAGAAACAGGGAAAAATATCCATGCACACTATATAAAGTGTCCAGAAAATCACATATTGAGTGCCACAAGTGAATAGTGCATATATAACTGTTTATCTAGGAAACTGTGAGGCTCTTGGAAGTAATGCAGTAAAGTGTGTGTGTGTATGTGGTGTTTAGTGTCTCTGTTGAGTCTGCGCTCTCGCCTGTATGCCAGTGACTCATCTCATCTGTCTCGTAATAGATTATCTCCGGCCTTCTTTCCTCCTATTGAAGGCCAACACTCCACATTGCTCTGTGTTTGAGCATACATCAATATTTTTCTTTTGGATTATTGACAAACCTATGTTTGATAGGCTTCTGTCTTTGAACACACTTGTGAAACAGTAGTTTTCAGTAATCTGGATGGATCTTACTAAATTTCAGCACAGACAACTGTGTTTAATTCAAGAGCTCCCCTTTTGTGTGCAAAATTTAAAATGTAGTAACTTCAACATCAGTGGTACTGTACGAACTGTCTTTTCTATTGGGAGCATATGCGTGTGGGCACAGTAATGTATTTTTTTCTAAATATCTACTGTATTTTCATGCACTGTTTAGTTATGTTCATTTTATTCAAAAGTCTTCTGACTTATCTCTTTAAATCTGGCCATGGGCAGTCTTGTTTTCAAAATGCATAATTTGTTTGTGTGCTTATGTGTGTGTTGGAGAGGAGAGGTCGACAGCTGCGGTTCTCCACAGGCCCAGAATCACCCACTGTGATTCAGTCTTGGCTCTGTAACACACACATTTAACTGTACACAAACTGGAAAGCACCCTTATTGAACATAAGTCTCGTTTGGCTTTTTAATCACTCATTTAGCTGATATGAGCTGGTATAGTGCTGCAATCACTGTTCAGTGGAGCATTTGCCTGTTGTCAGACTTACTCTATTTGTCCCATCACTCTTTTTCTTGCCCTTTAGTGTTGCACATAAAGGAAAGCTTAGAGATTTGTTCTTTGTCATGTTGCTTCATGATTTGTCTGGTTTTCTAGATGATAGTTCCTGTTTGATCCCCCATAAAATAAGTAATAAAAAGTAGGCTATGTTTACATGTGACATGGCTCACTACAGCATTCAGTCACAGTATGTGTCTGTCAGCAATGCTTCTTTCTAATCTTCTGGTCTTCTGATCTGCTTTAGGACTTTACTCTATCCTCTGGTTGTTGATTGGATGATTGGATTGATGCAGATCTAATATGAGCTTGTAGTCGATTGTAAGAACGGGGTGGGTTTAAGTTGACCAAATGACTGGAGAAGTCCAGCATAAGACGCTTGAGAGGAATCTGTGGTTTCACTGTGCAATCGTGATAAGAAATTTTGATTGAAAAAAAATTTCTAGGTGCATGGACATGGTGGTTAATTAAATTAAATTCAGTAATTTGTGTAGGCCTTTTCACAATACACATAATTTCAAAGCAGCTTTACAGAAAATGTGTGAGTTCACATTACTATTTAGAGTGATCTGTTATAAGAGGTAACTGCCTAAGTTATGTATTTCCGAAAAACAGCACAGTTAGCGGAAAAGGTATTAATTTAAACAGTGTAATAATTTGATGCAGAAACAATGAGCTCATTGAAGTAATGAATACTTGTTTGTTAACAAATGATGATGACATTTACAAAAATGTAGCATTGGTGCATATTAATTCAGAGTTTGCGTCATCTGAAGTCTTTGCGGGAGCTGACGCTGTCTCTTCATAGGTGTCGGGGATCTGAAGTCTTCATAACTGGATCCAAACTGCTGCTGACAAACTCTCTAGTCAGGATGCGCATCCCAAGATAAAACAGAGAAGCAAATAGAAAAGAATTAGTGTTGCTGCTGTTCATTAAATTATATGCTGATAGAACTGTATAAGTTTAGGGGATTATTTAGTTTATATGAATGTTTATATGAATGTTTGGCTAAAGAGATGCATCTTTAATCCTGAGCCCTAAACATCATCAGGAAGTCTTTTGAAGGGTGGTGATGGTGCATTGGATAAGACACAAGCCTGTGGTGTGAGAGACCCGGGTTCGAATCCACTGTGAGACACCAATGTGTCCCTGAGCAAGACATTTAACCCCTAGTTGCTCCAGAGGCGTGCGACCTTTGACATATATAGCAATTGAAAGTCGATTTGGATAAAAGCGTCACACGTTTTTTAGGCCCAAACATTTTTTTCATAAACAGCAAACATCCGCTAGCTGCCTATCCCCTAAACACACTGTAAAAAAACGTCTACGTCAATGGCAACAAAAACAAACTGCGGCAACCCGCTCCATGAAACATAACAAACTGTTCCAGCCAATAACTGACAAGAAGGCCCTGGGGTGGGGTTTGGGGGGTCAGTGCAGATAAGGAGGAGTCTATCTAGCCTCCGTTTTGTTTGAAAATACTAAGACGTCACGTCACCCGACATCGCTTAGAGCACCTTTAATAGGTAACCAGTGTGGAGAGATAATTGGTAATTATCAATAATTAGTTATGTGATCTTATTTTCTTGACCTAGTAAGAACTCTAGTAGCTGCATTTTGGACGAATTGTAGCATGTTTATTGAGGATTCTGTAAGAACAATAATAAACATTAAGACAATATATAGGGTGAATTTCCATTCCATGCCAACTTTAAACTGACAGGAACAGTTGTTAAAACAAAAACAAAAATCCACTAAATCTATTTAACACAATAATGTGATTGCCCTTATTCTTAGTGAGAGAAGAGTATTGTGATTGGCTTATAAGTTGACAACCCTCAGTAACCCACAGAGTTGAGAAAAACAGCTGATACAGATTGGTGCAGGTGCATCATAGTGTTTCCACAGCCACATGAATGCTATATTGGGTACTCCCTTCAGATTGAGAGACAACAAAACACAGAACTATATATTCCGTCTGGATTTTACTGTCCTACCTTAAGGCTGACATTGATGATAATAAGAATATCAGTGTATTCTGGGAACAGAATTTAAATGGCTTTTTTTTCGTGATTATTTCTGAAGAATCACACCACCCTCTTTTTCTTACTTTCTTTCTCTTTTCTCTTGCAGCTGTTCAGAGAAGTGCGGATCATGAAGACCCTCCATCACCCCAACATTGGTAAGATTGAAATGCAATAAATGCATGCATGAATGATGCTTTTATAATAGTGACTGTGTAAAATAAGCTTTCCAAAAATATTTTATCTTTTATTACAGTGCAACTTTTTGAGGTTATTGAAACAGAGAAGACGCTTTATCTTGTGATGGAATATGCAAGTGGAGGTGAGCTCTGAAGTTCATACTGAAGTATGGAGTATACAAGATAGTGTAACTACATATTAGTACATACGTGTGTGTCCATGAAAGAACTTTATGAGCTGTGTGTTCACTATAGGGTGTTTATTTGTGAAATGTGGTTTTTCTTCAGAGCTGAAACATAATGCAAAAAGACCTTGGACACTCATAACATTTATAGGTGCATCTGTGATATTTTGGGACATTATTCATGTTGGATTTGGTTTTCCAGGTGAGGTGTTTGATTACCTGGTGTCTCATGGGAGAATGAAAGAAATAGAGGCTAGAGCCAAATTCAGACAGGTGAGACATTTACCTAATTACTACAACACATACAGTTTAAGATCAAGGTGTTGTCACATTAAGCTTCTGGTTTACAGTTTCATCTCCTGTTTCATGTGTTTTACTTGGGCCGTATTTCAGATTGTGTCAGCTGTTCATTACTGTCATCAGAAGAATATAGTTCACAGAGATCTAAAGGTACGAGTTTGAATCTTTACACTTCAAATCTGCATCTAGATATCCCACCTAACATCTCTAACACTTTTCATTTTACTTGAGAAGCAAAATTGTGAGGATATATATTGAATTATGCAAATTTTTCTAACCCCATTAAATCTTATTCAGTTTGATAATAATAATTAATTATTTTAAAGATACAAAAGTATACAAAATATATATTTTTTAGCACTCTACAAGCACTATGGTGTAATATTACTGTTTGTAGTATTTTTTTGTATCACTTTCTGTCCTGTTTATTTCTCTTTGTTTTTCTCTCCTTCACACATTTGTACAACTTAATTATTTTTCTGCCTCCTTCACACAATCATGACTTTCTGTATTTGTAGGCAGAGAATTTGCTGTTGGATGCAGATGCTAACATAAAGATAGCAGACTTTGGCTTTAGTAATGAGTTTACGTTGGGGAATAAGTTGGACACCTTCTGCGGTTCCCCACCTTACGCAGCTCCAGAGTTGTTTCAAGGAAAAAAGTATGACGGGCCAGAGGTGGACATCTGGAGCCTGGGTGTCATCCTCTACACGCTGGTCAGTGGGTCTCTTCCATTTGATGGACAGAACCTCAAGGTACAGTTACTTTGTTCCTACACTCACATTGATCATTTCTTGCCACTTTACACCCTACGAGGAAAGAATTGATACGGTCTCTTATTGCAATATTCTATGATTGTATGATATTGATAAACTGACACCAATTACATACATTTCTATTTACAACAAAAAATGCACTTCCATTCCTTAGTTTAATTGTTTTTTGAAAGACATCTCTATTACTCATCAAGGCTGCATTTGAAGAGTTCAGATGCAAAAGCCTCTAAATGCCATTTGAAATTTTCTTCTTTAATGATGATTTTTATCAAACTTGTATATTTAAGTTCAGTAATTTCACTTAAATAACAATTAATAGGTAATCTTCATTGCCATTTAAGTGAAATCACTGAACTTAAATATACAAGCTTGATAAAAATGATCATTCTAGAAGAAAATTTCAAATGGCACTTAGAGGCTTTTGCATCTGAACTCTTCATTTGTTCGATCAAAAATACAGCAAACATTTTAATGTTATTGAAATATTATTAAAATTTAAAAAAAATTGAATTCTTTGATAAATAGAAAGTAATTATTTTAATTAATTTAATGCACCCTTCCTGAATAAAAGTATTAATTATAATAAAATGTTTTTACAGTACTTTGAATGTGTCATAACTTTGTTTTTAAACATTTCTTTAAACAAGTTTTGAACAAGTTCTTTAAACCCTTATTTCTAAATTCCTTTGTATCTTACTGTCTAAAGTTTGTGACACACCAAGCCGACGTCAAAGTTGCCATTAGGTAGTAAATGTTTACATGGAATGCAAGAATAGAGCGAATAAAAAAATCGACATAAATGTAATATAAAATTAGATACGGGTTAGGTAGATTAGGTACAGAAGTTGAATAAAGTAATCAAATGTAAAATAACACGGTACATTCTTCACTGTATAATTTAAATATTGATCCTTATTAAAGTTACAAAAGTTATTCAGTCAAGAACACCGTCGGCTTGGTGTGTCAAGACCCTTAAGACCACACTGATATCTGTTTATCACACTGTTTGCTGGTGCATGTGTTTTCCAGGAGCTGCGTGAGCGAGTGTTGAGGGGGAAATACCGTGTACCCTTCTACATGTCCACAGACTGTGAGGGTATTCTGCGCAGGTTTCTTGTGCTCAATCCCAGCAAACGTTGCACTCTAGAGGTGCCTACTTGCACATTCATTGATACACTCTACCATAGCAAATACTAATGTGCCTATTTCTGTGATGTAGGATGTACAGCATGCATTTGCTGGAAGATGCTAAATGCTATTATGTGTTAGTGTATGATTTGTGTTAAGTCAAAGCAGATAAATGACTGAGCTAAGAAGTTTCTGTGTAGTCAGGATGCTGGTATTTCCTCCACAGCAAGTGATGAAGGATAAGTGGATGAATTCAGGGTTTGAGGGCGATGAGCTGAAGCCTCACATTGAGCCAGCAGAGGACTACAGTGACGCAAACCGCATTGGTGAGCATGTAGATCAGTGGAAGTATTTTACTACTGTTACTAACTGTTCTGTTACTGTGATGCATAGAATAAAGAGAATGATTGCGTCTGGAAATATTTCTTTCAGTTCTCACTTATTTCTTTGTCTTTTCAGAGATTATGGTCGGGATGGGTTTTACTACAGAAGAAATAAAGGACTCTTTACTCACTCAGAAATATAATGAAGTCACGGCTACATATCTGCTATTGGGCCTGAAGACTGAGGTAATATATAATACATTATGAAACAAAGTCCTGAAATCTGGGTTGTATTTTTCTATTTATCTTTTTTTTTTTTTCATTGCTTTTTGGTCATAGGATGGCGCTGAGTCACGAGTTAGTGGCAGTATGACGTTGCCACGTGTGCGTCCGAGCCCAATGACCAATGGAACCAACAAACAATCCTCTTCTTCATCATCTTCTTCATCTTCACACAGCAAGACTCAGCGCAGCGCCTCTACTTACCACCGCCAGCGAAGGCACAGTGACTTCTGTACGAGACGCTTGAGCTTCAACTCTAAATACAAACGCACTTCTAATTGTTTATGATTATAATCATTATCAGTTTGTTCTGCAGGTGGTCCTAGCATGCCTGTGATGCACCCAAAGCGTAGCCCGACCAGCGGTGGAGATCGTGAGCTGCGTGAGAGCCGCATGCCACCGAGGAAGGCCAGCTGTAGTGTAATGGGCAGTCGAACCCTACCACCATCTAGTCCAATGGTCAGCACTGCCAACAACCCCAACAAGGCAGAGATACCTGATCGCCGCAAGGAGATGACCGCCACCACAGTGAGTGAAATTTCTCTTATTGAATCATTATTTTATTATATACTCACTGTTGTTGAAATGTTTGGGATCAGAATTTTTTTTGAAAGAAATTATTACTTTTATTCAGCAAGGACACATTAAATTGATCAAAAGTGAGGGTAAAAACATTTAGAATGTTACAAAAGATTTCTATTTCAAATAAATGCTGTTTCTATTCATTAAAAATCCTGAAAAAAAAATGGGTCATGGTTTCCAGAAAAATATTAAGCAGCACAACTGTTTTTGACATTGATAATAATAAGAAATGTTTCTTGAGCACTAATATTAATAATATAATAAAATAGAAATAGAAAAGTAATTTTACATTGTAGTAATATTTCACAATTTTGTATTGTATTTTTCAGCAAATAAATGCCACCTTGATGAGCATAAGTGACTGAATCCTAAAAAAATCCAAAATAATATTTTTCCATCATAATTATTTTTTAATTCAAATTTGTAATACTTAAACTTTCTGTTTATTTTTTTACATTTTGAATCCTAGGTTTTCAAAACATTTAATGAGTGTATGTGTAGCATTGTGTTTTGTAATGATATTCTTTATTTTGTCAACATTTATTGAAATGTTGTGTGCCATCTCCATTGCAGAACAATATCCCAGGAAGTACCATGACCCGTAGAAACACGTATGTATGTACAGATCGTTCCAGCACTGACCGGCACTCGCTGCTGCAGAACGGCAAAGACAACAGGTGACCAACACACATTCACAAACTCAGTCACACTCTGTCACTTTGCTGCCCTGTCTGACTCTCATTCACTGTCTGTGTCTATCTCTCCTTAGCTCTCTATCTCACCGCCTCCCTCCCACCTCTCCCTCCACTCTCAGTATTGTTGGAGCGGGAGCATCCTCCTCTTCTTCCTCAGGTGAGCGCTGTCGGCTGACACGTGGATCCACCATCCGGAGCACCTTCCATGGGGGTCAGCTCCGTGACCGTGTACCGCCCACCTATGGACCTCCGCCCACGTCGCCCACCCTGAGTCATGACGCTGGAGCCCTGCCGGCCAATGCCCGCAGCCGGGCCACTTCTAACCTGTTCAGCAAACTCACCTCCAAACTCACTCGCAGGTAAGAGAAGTTCTCGTCATACAAATAAAAACATATGCATAGTTATGCATTAAAAAGTATCGTACATCACATGGCAGAAAACAGGTTTAAGCCTCATTTAGAAGGGAAAGGTGTCTCTGATCCAGATCCCTCTGAGTCTAAAGCTGTTTACTCTGACAAAGTTTTTTTTTAGGAGGTTTGTTGGTCACTGTACTTATAGTCACTACTTGGCATTTGTGGTGCTGAATGCAGCAGTGTATAATCTATTATATCACATGGGCTTGACATTAACACCATCCAGCAGTGGTGGATTTCAGCAGTGGCGTGTAACGCATTCACTCCTTCCTGCCTCTTGAATTTTATATATAATGAATTTTGAATTTTATATATAATATATACATTTTCATGTTGTAGTATTTTAAAAGGCATCTGAAATAATAAACTAAGTGCAATTTAGTGTTGTCATACATATCGATACTGAAATATCTGAAACACTTCCAATACTCATTTTACACAGAATAGATACCAGCACAATACCAGCTGCACTTTCTCGCTTTCTCATCTCTCCGACAGTGAGTTGACACACAAACCCTGCTCTGGATGAATATTGTTGTCACAGCCAGGGCTTGAACTTTGACGTGGGATTTGCACATAATTTTATTCTGAATTTTGGATTTTGTGCTCAGACCCAAAGTATGTCCACATAAAGCTGCCTCTCAGTACTATTGAGTTATTTTCACTGCTTAATGCACTTAAACAGTCAAATACACACAAAATAATGTTAAAATGCCAGTCTTGGTGAGTATTCATGTAAACGGTCAGTTTTGTTATATAAGCAGTTAAGAAAGAAAACGCATGTATAACAGTATAATGGATCTGTGCATCAGGTCTCAAAGTGACAGCTGCCTAATATATCTGATGCAAAATTTTAATATTTTACTATCTCATAATTTGGCAGCAGGTATATTAGGGATTCCTTTTTTTTAAAAAAAAGAAGAGCTAGAGTACGACCTGTCCAATAACACTGGGCTATTCTTACAGATTAAAAATTACATGTACACTCATGCTTCACACCGTCATCATTCCTTGCGTATTGCCTCTTTTTTTCAAGCTTTCCAAGCTTACAAATGTACCTTTCCTAATCTCTCCCTCTTTGTTCTTATTTCTGTTACATTTCTTTCTCCCCACTTGCTCTCACTATCACTCAATCCTTTTGTCTTTGACTTTCTCTCTGTCTTTCTCCTGCTCTCCTCGTTGTGTTTCTCTCTCCTAGGGTCAATCTTGACCCCTCTAAACGCCAAGGCTCTAATAAATCAGTGTCGGGTTGCACTCTTCCACAGGGATCCAAAACAGTTAGTAAGTTCCTCTGTTTGCCTGTTTGTTGCCGCTGCACGTCCGTCTGTTTCTGCACATGGCACGCCTATCTGCATGCAATGTCCTTTGCGGAATTGTGCGAGTCTGATAAATAGGTTGTGAGGGTGAGGAAAGTCTGGAAGATGGTGCATGGAGGTTTTGTCTCTAATCGGTTTGCATGCATCCAGGAACATACACAAGTTTTTTATTTGTTATGACTGTTGTACTTTGCTCAGATCAGCATCAGGATAGTTAGTTATTTTGACCAAATTGCAGATTAAATTGCTGGGTCATCTTCATACAGGACTGACCGATCCAGATAAGCATGTTTGTCTTTTTGTTACTCATGTTGGAGTTGTGTGTATGTATCGGTCGCTGTTGGGATAATGCAGATCATCTCAAGATGTGTGCTTTTTTGCAGGATCACAAATGAATCTGAGGGAGTCAGCAGATCTTCGTTCACAGGGTGAGTCCTCATATGATACTAAAGCGTTATGATCATGATCAGACTTTGTCAACAGATTGCAATGAATAGACTAATATAAACTTTAGCTATGGATAATAGCAAAATTGTTATACATTTAAATTACACTTAAGTATCAATACATACACAAAGTTACAGGAAAAAATCGGCCAATAATTATTATATATAAGTAATATTATTAATAAGTAATAATAGTAATGAAAGCAGTGACTTCTTTCTGAAGATGTGAATCTCAAATATGAGTTTTGCAGGAACTTTTTTGTTGTTGTAAATTTTCCAGTGGCCATTTATCTGGGGATCAGAAAGCGTCCCAGCCCTGGGGCAGGGGAGGGGGGTGGGATGTAAGGGGCCATTTCCCCCGTCCCCCCCGGGCCCCTGCAGAAGTGGTACTGGCCTTGCGCGAGGCAGCGAGGGGATGCGGCTGCCAGGTCCGGCACGCTGGCCCGTTTCTGCTGTGCTGCAGTCATGGATCGGCAGGATCAAAAGTCGCATTCCAAGCTGAGGTGTGCCAACTGAGTGTGGGTCCCGCAGAGACAAACGGAGTTCGCTACACACGCCTGTGGGGGGCTCCCCTCGCCTTCAGGCACATCGCATCGCAGATCTCTAAAGAGGTGGAGCTCTGAGGGGACGGGGGAGGAGACTTGACTCGTAGATGTCCCCTCACTATATCCGTTGTTCTAGAGATCTGTTATAGACAAAATCTGATCCCTCCAAAAACACTCAACACACATCTGAACACACATACATGTAAACAAACACAGTCACCTTAAAAGCACGGGACACTCAATCCTGAAAATATGGAAATCTAAAGTACAAAAACAAGCACACCCCTTCCATGCATAAACCTGAGCGCTATTAGAGCGCTACGGATACACACACACACACACACACACACACACACACTCACTCTCTGAAAAGCCTCATTCACTGGGTCTGGATTGAATCCAGTTTAGTATTTTTATTCTCATTCTAGTCATGAAATTCTTACTTCAATAATTGATGTCATTCTTTTTTTTAACCACTTTTGTATGTTTTCAACAAGTCTTGACATTTTAAACGGGTCATCATTTTTATGTTTTTTGTGATTTAATATGTCTTACATTTTCTTAATACTAAGTCAAAGCATTGAATCATTGACAATGTAGGACTGTAGCTGCCAATGAACTATATGCACAAATGTGAAGTTGGCAAATGTATCCTAACTTCATCATAGCTCACGGTGCACACCCAAATCCACATCACATTCGCTGGCGACCACAAATTTGATCAGGCTGCAAGCCAACCATCTACACTTTGTTTTTGAGATTGTCTGAGAAAAATTGTGTTCCCTAGAAAGTCTGTTTTTCTGATGTATAGTGCCAGTTTACGTACTTTCCACCATGTTTAATTTAGAAGAGACGTTTAATGCCAAATGACTTTCCCTGACCCTTCTCGGACAGGCACGATTATTGTTCGGTTGTTAATCCTTCATTTCAACTCCTATTTAGTGAAACTTTGCAAATAGTCATCTCTCAATTTACCCAGTCTGAGTGGAGTTGAGGTTATCACATGAGTGATTTTACTAAGACAGAAGGTTTTAGTGTTCAGTGTCTTAAAAAAGACACGCTTCCTGCATTGTAGATATCTGATTAAATGTCTAGAAAAAACACCTTTCTTATTCAATATAGATTCTCTCCCACCTCCAGTTTTAAAAAGAAATAGAAAGTAAATATCCAATACAGAAATGGTGTTTGCTTTGCAAAATATGTTGTGGCTCAGCATTAGCAGACATTAAGTCATAGTCTCATTCATTAGCACATACAGTACGTGTCAGCATTTTTTCATTAAAATTCCCAGGCTTTATATATGACTAAATTGGTATTGAAAAATCTTTTGATCCCTTACGCAATTATTTTGGCACCAGATATCTAAAATGCAGGATGTTTTAATGCAAGAGTACAGGAAGAGGTTCAGTGCTCTCACTACTGAAATATGTTTTTGGGGCAAATGCACCAACAGGGCTTTGAAAAACCTGATTTTTTTATTTATTTATTGTAAAGTCAATCGCACTTGCAATCTTGTAATAATATGCCATCTATATGGCTCTTTTTCCATTGCAAAATCTTAACAATGCTGTGTAACTAACAGAAATGCGTGTGTCATGGACTGGTCATGTTTTCGCTGTTGCTCATGTTGGTTTTTAGCCATGCACAAGTTTTTCTCTTGATCAGATTTCTAATCATGTTATAATCAATTTAACGGGTTTCATTTGCAGGTTTGAGACCTGAATAGAATATATATGCTGCTTCAGATTTTTCTGTCATGGGTAGAATTAGGTTTGTTCTTTTTTTTTTAACAATACTCTTGGCTTACTTTTTGATCGAACCAGTTCTGGTTTTTGATGTGTAACAAGGCCTAGTTATGCAATAGTTGTCAGTTTGCCAAGCATAAGCAATTCACAACCGATGGTGATCAAAATGTAATTGTGAATGGTGATAATTGTGCAATAGCATTAGATGTTACTGTCATGTCTAGAAATTGTTTCTATCTTAATGCAAAGCCATGCTTTGACCCTGTTGGTGCTGCCAGCCCGTAGACAGTACGATATTGATCAAGTACATGGTTTGAGCAATGAGGGCATAGTGTATAGGACAGTTCTTACGAGTTCAGTTTGGATAAACGGGTTGATTTAATATGGTCGGTCTGTAATTTTTTGATTGGGGGATCATTGTGCTGGCTTGTGTGAAATATATTGTAGATACTAAAGGATTATATGCCACTTTCTCCATGTTTGTGATGGCATCTCCCTCTGTTCATGAGAGGGCGTTGGATTGTGGTACAGAAAACAAGCTTGGTTCTTGATTTTAGTTTGGTCTGCTGCAAGTATGTCAAATGCTTTGAGATGCTTGAAAGTTCACTTGTGATGACTGACTCCACAGGTATCACTGTGGTGCTTCACCGTTGACCTTTATCCAGACAGTGAGCCTCCTAGCCCACCTTGCAAGTCTGACATCTCATCATTCATCCACTTTTTGTTGTTCACTTTATTCTCCGCTTTTGTGCCGCACATTTGCTAAGACACCTAGTTTCTCCTCGTCCAATTGCTGAATCACTGGAAATCCTTGTGTCATTGTTCTGTCTGCTCTGTGACTGGACTCCTGTTGTGGAGACGCTTCCTGTTTCAAACTGAACGGGGTAAAGACTGCACGTCCTGGACCAGTCTGACCCGGTCTCCGCATCAGACCGGCTCTGTCTGGTTTGGACTGCTAGGATCTGTATCCGTTCAACGTCCATTAAGACCGCTGTGCACTCATGTTGACTTGAATCAGCTGCATCCTACGGATCTGTGGGTTTGTACCCATGTTTGGCCACCGGAAGTTGCCAATGTCTTAAATGTGAACACTTCGAATTGTGTATATTTGCACAGGTACTTAATTTATTTTCTAGAATAATTATCTTGGGAGAAAAAAAAAGTATTGGTCTATATCAGTCAGATTCTGGCTGTATATAAAGATTATGATCCTGATGATAATATTGTGAGTATAGTATATACAGTATTTTAGAATTCCAGGTTAATTCATAGCTAGAGCAGAGACCCTCTGCTAGCTCTCCAGACGTTTCTATGTGTGCTGAAGTGAAACACTAACCTGCAATCCTGCATGATTCAGAGCAAGGATGGAGAAAGACCGACTACATATGTGAAATAACAGAACGGGCAAAAGAATTTGAGGGAGAGAGAGAGCGTGTATGCGTGTGCATGTATGTGTGAATGTGTGCGTCTGTGCATTGCGCTATTCTGTTGACCTGCCTCCTTCTTTCTTTCTCTCTCTCTCTCTCTCTGCTGGTAGGAAGTGTTTGTGTGAGAGAATTATGGCAGCCATACTTGACCTAGAGTGACAGTATGTACGTATGAATGAGTTTTTCTTAGTGTCATTTAAAGGCATTAAAAAGAGTATTAGTGAGAATTGTGAGTTGGTGTGCCAGGCGTGACACGTCTGAATGACAAATCCCTTCAGTTCAGTGTTGTGCTGTCTGTGATGTAAACTATCTGCTATGATATTGGGTCTCTCGTGATGCATTTAGCTAATATGCAATATGGCAAGAGAGTCAGGTGGACAAACAATATATACATATATATATGAGAGAGAGAGAGAGAGAGAGAGAGAGAGAGAGATCAAGAGAGAGACAGAGAGATTAAAACATTGATGCTGTTAGCAGAAAGTAATTCCCCCCCCCCCCCCCTCCTCCCCCCAGAGGTTTTTGCACCTTTGGCCAAATATATTAAAATGGAAACAAAAAATCTTGAGAGAAAATAAACTTCACTGATGTTGGCATCTTTGTTGTGTTCAATTATTGTTTGGTGTATTTGTGTTTTATCCGGATTTATGGTCTGTCCCTCTTGTTTATGGGCACTTTATTTGGTGTATGAGTAGAAGAGATAGGATATCACTTATGTATTTGATTAGTATGTATAGGGATTAATATGATTATGTCTTTTACTTGACTATGTTGCTAATGTTACACAAACTATGTTCCTGTTCGCCATCTCAGTCTGCCTTCTAACAATCACCAGAAACGCTTTGAACAACTCAGAACATCAGTGGAGAAAGGCATATAGTTCATCATAACATTGTAATATACATCACACACTTGGTATATTGCTAAATCTATCTGATTTTTTTTTATCAACAGAAAAATATACTGGGATAACCTGCCTCTCTTGAGACTCCCTTGCTGTTAATGATATGCTAAAGCCCGCCGGCACGTTAATGTAATTTGTTACAAGGTAGTTTGTGACATCAGAAACACCAGCTATTTCAGACTGCATATTTTTTTCACTGCAGTTTTAAGAAGAAGATGAATTTTTGAATTTGCACATGGTTTGACTTAAAACACATTGAAAAAAATACCACATAAACATATAAACAACATTAAAAACTTGATTTTCACCACGGGGGGACTTTAAATTAAATTCTTTTTAACTTTCATCTACACTGAAGCTATTTATATGCTCACAAACATGATAAAATACAAGATGCGTTTAGAAGAGATACTTAGTAGAATATGTGTTTTATGGGGTATGTTTATTCAAATACAACTTGATTGATTCACTTTTTACAACCAAGGCTGAAATTGAGGTGAAGCCTCGACGTCAGGCACTCACACCTGCGCCGACAATCTGATCCCAAGATGTTACCGACTGAACAGGAAACAAAGTGGAAAAAAATGATGGCGAAATGACATGGAAAATAAAGAAGAAGGGAAAAAAGAAAGCAAGACAGATGCAAAGGCTAGACTGTCTGTGTTTTCGAGCAGCAGTTTCCTCTGCGTTGATGTAGGATCGCATGATGGACTGTAGAAAAAAATACAAAGACGAAAAAAAAAACAGAAGGGCTCCCGCTTTACTTCTGGGCAGGGATCATGCTGTCGATTGACTCGCCCTTCTCCAGCTTCTTCTCCATCTCGACCATCAGCTTAACGCCATCAACCACACACTGCACTTGTTCAACCTCTGAAGAGCCTAAACGGTCAGCATTGGAAATGTCAAACACTCCACCAACGGAAGCTGTGTCCACACCACCTGAGAGAAATAAATGAAGATGGAACAAGTGGAGGTCAGCAAATGACTAGATGTCATTAACTAGATGTCTTCATTAACATCAATAAACATTTCAATGCTTTTTGCATATGTATGTTCAGTGTTTGTATACCTGTGCCACGCTTCTGCAGGCGCAGTCTGGTCAGGATCTCCTCAAACTTGGCATGTGTGCTCAGCTTGGGCAGCTTGACGTGGACACCACCACGCAGTCCTGTGCCCAGGTTGGAGGGGCAGGTCAGAATGAAACCAAGATGCTCGTTCCACATGAATCCATGGTTGTGCTTCTTGAAAATTTCCTCAATCTGTCAAAGCAGAACACACACATGCTCACATGCTCCAGGTGACAACAGTCAAATATGTGTGTGCAATTATTTATGCATGTTCTCCATACCCTCTGAAGACCAACGCAGAAGCGCTTGAACACTTCCTTCATGTTGCCACCCTTCTGCATGGAAATGACACGCAGGTGATCCTCCTCATTCACCCAGACCAGGAAGGTCTTGTTCTCATTGTGCCTGTAATTGAAGCATAGGCATCCATTTACAATACAAGACCTAATTTATATCACCCAGCTAATATAAGTTGTCTTCTGTCAAAGCCACCAAACATGGAGTTGTTCAGAACTATTTTCACTGACGTGGGAACTAAAAAGTAACTGGGAATATATTGTCTTAAATGTTACTCAATATTAACTTCTTGCTACTATAATGTCAATGTTGCACCTGCAATAACTGGCTATCGTCGTGGTTATTCTGAAAAACTGCATTCTTGCTTGTGTGGTAGGCCATCCCATTCTCACCCCCAAGGCGTCACTTAACTGACGCCTTGGGAAGCATTTGGACATGCTTCAATATCTGACGCTTTAGGCGCCCTTTAGCGTCAGTTAGATGACACCCTAGGATCGCGTGTACCCTACCCCCACCCCACACCTAAACCTAACCGCGTCCTCTAACTGACGCTTTCCTTTAGCGTCAGTTAGATGACGCCGTAGGATCGCGTCATGTAAGTGACGCTAAAGGGCGCCTAAAACGTCAAATATTGAAGCATGGTCAAAGGTGACGCCTTGGGGTGAGTGCATTGGGTAGGCCTATTGATTAATTAAATATTATATTTGCTTTCTCCAGTCATTTGACTCATGTGATCATTTGCATTGAGGCTGCATTTAAGAAAAGTAACCATTACTCTTTTCTGAAATGAGGGAGTCTCAAAGTAAGAAAGAAATATGTCAGTTTTATAATGGTTACTTTTCTGAAATGAGACAACCTAAACAACATATATGGCCGACAATGCAGAGTGCAACCTTTGAAATGAGACGCAGCAGTATAGATAATTTTGATTCGACTTACCAAATGCCTCTGGCATCGGGCCAGTCACGGGCCATACCAGCAGCCAGCAGCAGGGGGGAGACGGGTTTGTCAAACAGGAAGTGGTCAGCGATCAGCTGCTCCTGCTCGGCGTCAGTCATGGACTTCAGGGGGTAATACTTGCCCTTAAACTCTCCATCCAAGCTGTTCAGAGCTGGAGGAATAAAGAGATCCCAAACGTGTGATTCCACACTCTCGTTCCTCATTTATAATCTTGTGCAATTCACCCCTACAGTTCTGAACTGTCTGTTGTTGGGGTTTGTAAGGTGTGAAATAAAATAAACTATAAATATTGCATGAAAACCAATAAAAAGCACTAAAACTTCAATTAAAACTGAAAATATAAAAATAATTCAAAGCGTATTGAAAATATGAATCAATATAATAATCTTATGTAATAACACTGAAATAACGGTGATGTGTGCACACCTTCAACGGACAGCTTCTCCACAGCTCTGCGCTCTCCACGGGTGTTGTGGGGGGGCAGGGCGTATCCCTTGATGCTACGGCCGGTACGCACACGGCTGCTCAGAACGTAGTTGGGGTCCAGGTCATCACCACCCTACAAATAGAGGTTTTATTCATTTCAGTCCCAGTAATTGTTAAACACTCTGATTAGTTTATGGACAAGCAACTCTCACATTTCAAATTATTAAGAGCATCTGTAGCCTTTATAAAATATTTGTTATTTCTGTTTTGCACCTTCAGGTTCTCAAAGTTGAGGTCGGTCTTGTGCTTGTCAGTTGCCTTGTATCCACCATGGCGGTCGGAAATGATAGGGTCGAGGAGATCCTTGAAAATGTCGTAGGACTCCTCATCACCAGCAACGCAGCCGACGGTCATGATGAAGGGGTGACCTGGAGAAAAGAGTCATCTCATCAGTCTATAGACAGGAGGAAACATGTTGTGCTCCCTGAACAAATCCAGGTTTGATTGGGGTAAATACTGTATGTGGTAAGGATGTACAACTGATGTCTTTGCTCACCTGGGTTGTCAACACCAGTCTGGATGACATCATCCAGGGTGTACCCAGTGGGGGTCTGCTTGTCCCTAAGCTTGGCATAGATGTCCTTAGTCAGCACCTTGGCCATGTGGTTGTTGTGCTTGGTAAGGTCTGGATACTCATCATCAACTGAAAAGTTCAGCTTGAAGTTGTTGTGGGTGTTTCCGAAAGGCATGGTTGCGTTTCTAACACTGCGGATTGGACAAAGAGAAAGTGAGAAAGATTATTTGCATTTGATTCCTTGAATCGAATTTCCCACACTTGTCTCTGACCTCAACTGTTTGAACTTAATTTTATTAATTCTGCTTTGTCAGTTAGGCTGGAAGGAGTTACTTCAAGTTTATATATATAAAAAGGTGGTTGGAAATGTACCACTTACACAAAAATGTGTTTACAGCACGCTGACTGAAATCAATGAAACCATATTCAGTGCAGGTTAGAACCTCTTAAACATCAGCTTCCACTGAATTGAGAAGAATGATTCACTTGAAATTACAGGTGCACATATTAAAACAGTTTGTCTGATTTACTAGCAAGTTCCACTTGAGGTCCTCACTTGTAATTTGATATGTCTGATTGTACCAGGAATACGAGAGAGACACTCCCCAGCCTAAATCTGGACAGATCTATTTTTACTATAACGTTAACTCCCTCCCATTACTTTAACATAATCTCGAACCTCTCAAACATTGCACTGTTTTCCACATAAATACTCACATAGCTTTGTATATGTGATTAAAGTATTCCCATGTTCTGACCAGTTTCCTCAGACTCACGTGTTAATCATGTCATGGTTGTGTAATGATATCGTTTAGATGAAATCAAGTTCTATGTAGGCTAACATACAAAACACAACGTTGTCATTTTTTTGTATTCATTTCTGTTCTGTGGAATACACCTATCAGAAGATACTCGCATGATTACCACAAGATTCTATTTTAAGAAAGGCCAGCAGAGGGAACCTGTCCCATATGTATCAAAATGAGAAACATAAGCACATCTCAGGGTTTTTATGGCTGTATCCGATTATGCTCTCAAAGCTGCTGCAGATCACATGTTTGACATCTGCTCCCACATTTAAGCACATCAGGTCAACCAAACCTGATTCCTATTCCAAAATATTTAAACATGAACAAAATTGTAAAAAAATTACTAACATTTTCACACATAGTAGATCCAGATGCCTCTGATAAACACTCAAGTATTTCTTTCATGAAAAAGATCATGCATCTGCTATCATGTTGGAGTGTATCATTATCGTAAATACATTTTAATTAAATAGCATCTGACTAAGATTTGGATGAAGAAAAAGGATCTGCAAATTGTAAAATGTATGCAGCCCAGTTAATCACTTCTATTTTGCTTTTTCTATTTTAAGGAGTATTCCACTAGAATACCTACATTTTTCCTTCAATTATTTTATCTTATTTAATTATTGCTTCTTCTTTTTTATAGACTCTCCTTGCTGTGAATGATGGTTATTCAAGAATGTGGATGTCTTTACCTGCAAAAAAGACAACAAAAGAGGTAACAGTCCTTGGGATCAGATCCTGTTCACCAAAGCCGAAATAGGGGTCACCCAAGCGAGAACAGTCCGATTTGGGTTTATATACCTCCAACCCCTGCAAGCCATTGGCTGGCCCATTTTAGAGCTCGCTGAAATCTGATTGGCTGGCCCCAGTCTCTTATGCCCTGTTTAGTGTAAGAAAAGCGTCAATTTAGATCCTGGGCATCTTAAATGAGGTGGCAGCTGTGGGTTGTGTCCCCCTCCACTCAAATATCAATTTACACTTCCCACCCCATACATAGCTTTCCAGTAGGGTTTAAGTTGGAGGAGGGGTAATGGGACATGGAGGGTCTGCCATGCTAAAAAGGCTGAGCAGCACTTTTGCCAAACATACCATGGATATCAGAAATGCTCACAGAAAGAAATCACCTGGCTACAGCCATCTCATGATTCTTGGTGCAAATTCACTTAGCAGTTTTGCAGAAGTAGTTTGCTAGGGTGTCACATTTAATTCATTTATCTGTTCATGTTGGACACCATATTTATGCTTTGGGGGTAAAAGGTCATCATCTTTTATCATGTGAAAGTAAATTGGACACACAGCCCAAACATAACCGTAAAGCCCAAACCCTAACCCTAACCATGATTGTTAAAATATATATATATATATAAAATTCTTTGTATGATCCAATTCAGATGATATCAAACAATCTTGCAAAATTATTACAGATCTAATTATGTTGCCAAGGGAGTATTTATAGGAAAACCGTCAATAACACAAAACATCTTCAACTCTTAGCATTTGTTTTATTCAGACATTGTTGTGTCTTTTTGTAATTCAAAGAGAGGTATTTCTATCTCAGGAAAAGGACCCAA